CACTTCCCAGAAATTGTGTAGTTCCAGAAAATATCCAGACCCCCACCACGGAGGGAATTGGAAATTCCAGGGGGGTGGGGACGTCAGAGGCCCAGGAAATTCCAGAAGGGAGGGGGGTTGGACCATAAAATCACTTTCCAGGGGGTCAATATCATTTCGTTTTCGACCTGAGTTCGAACATTGCTTGTTACCGACCTGGTAGATCATTTTTAGGACTTAAATAACTTGAAATATATCACTTAAGATTGTTCCTTTTGATCTTAACCAGGTTTCCTTTCTTCCAAAAGCGTTCTGGATGTAATTTCAAAGGAATTAGACCGACTACAACTCGTTTTATCGCATGCTCGTGTATTCGGCCGCCATTACTCGTTACCAGTCTCCCTCAAAACATCAACGCGTGCAACACATCACGTTGCGTCAGTCGATCGATCAGTAGAGTGGGAATTTTGCCTCACGAAGCACAAGCTATACATTGTAACCATTTCACGAATCTATCAACAGTACGCCCATGAAGACGAATAACAAATCGTAAGCTAAGCTTGCCCTGATTAAGGTAAATTCACAAATATAACGGACTTATTAACTTTCTCTGTTTCATTTAAAGTAAGAGATGAGCAAAAATTGCGGATCAGGTTTATTACTTTGTGGTGGTGTAGTGTGTTTTAAAGTTACGAGATCACTCAAATGGAAACAGAAGCATACAAGCTTGTGATTGGAACCGTTGCGTACTAACCATAAATGGCCTCATTCTTCTACTTTAATAGTCTTTCTTCGTGAAAATGAACTTTTCCAGAGGGGTTGGGGGGTCTTTGTCACACTTGTGGAAATTCCGAGGGGGTGGGGTGTCATCAGTTCCCTGCAAAAATGGAAAATCCAGGGAGGTGGGGGGGTGCTAAGTGAAATTCCCTCCGTGGTGGGGGTCTGGATATTTTCTGGAACTACACAATCTAAAACACTTCACAGAAATGAAAATACATCCCAGAGTCCCTCGCCTTGCGTCCCTAAGTCCCAAGTCCCCACACACGCGTCCCAATGTCGCCATCCCAGTTTTATACACAGCCGAAATTAACGATGCACTTTATTAACTCAATTTAAAAAAAAATCGCCTTAATTCATCGTAATTTACGTCGATGTTGATTTAAATCTCACTATTTTACATCATTGTTGTTTTTCAGCACCTTTATTTCAATTACAACACTTAGTCTGCTCATAGTTCCTCTGTCAATGCCTTTGAGTCACTATCTGACAGTTTCAGGACAGTTCTTCTTTACTGTGCTTTTCAAAAACATGCAAATTCTGAAGTTCTAAAACCACCTTCACGACTGCGTTTTTCTCTTCCTGAGTCAATCATAATTATGATCACAAGCAAATAACCTCAAAACACAGAGGCACATAAAACTGATCAAAATACACCAATCAAAAATCACAAACACTGACCTTTTGAACCCATTGAAGTAAACTACTTTTCCCTAAATACGAAAACGTCAGCTGAATTTTACCCTTCAAAATTCGCATGTTTTTGAAAAGCGTAGTAATAATTGAGTTCGAAATGTCTTTCGACTTGTCTTCGTATTGATCTGTTTCCCCGAGGATGACTGGAAATGGGTGAAATGCTGATTTTTTTCTTTAGTTATGTATGTTGAGAAGTTTGTGTTGCAGCAAATTCAAGTTTTTTAAATACCGTAAAATTCCGAAAATAAGCCCCTCCAAATATAAGCCACAGGAAATCGTAATGCAAAAAACCCTCCATTAAATTGCCCCTCCGAATATAAGCCCCCCGGGGGGCTTGTACTTGGAATTTGCCCTCGAATACAAAGTAAAACAAAGCAAAAATGGTAAATTTCCTTCCCACTACAAGCTAGCCCAATCGATTTTGAAATGAAAATTTCCCTCCGAACATAAGCGCCTCCGAACATAAGCCCCTCCGAATATAAGCCCCTCCTCCCAGAATTTTACGGTATAGTTAGGCCCAAATTGTTTGGAAAATTTAGTGTTAATTTGATGTACGTAAACCTAACTTTTGGAAAATTCGCTTTAATTTTGTCTAATGTAAATTTTCTTCATGTTGTCAACGTGCATTGTTAATTTCCTATAATAAGGTAGTGTTTAAGATTCCCTTGATTAATCTTCAACGATTACTGATAAGAGTACAGGAAAATAATACCCTATTCTAGACCCAAACTCTCTGGTTTCTATACTTCATCCCAGAGAGTAGAAATCTTGAAAACCATACCCTTCTCAGTGTTACATACCTGTTTAGTCTATATTGGGCAGTATCCCTTGTTTCTTTTGTATATATATATCTGTGTGATTTTGCTAAAAGGTGCCCACTAAGTTTTCGCTTGAACAGCCGGTGTACCTGGAAAAAAACCAGGGGGCTTGCTGCCTTGCTAGGTGTCAGCAGAGAGCCCAGGCCTAGACCAGAGGGGTAGGGAGGGGAGAGTCTGTCACTTTGATTAGAGTTTCATGTCAGAAAGCAGTGCAAAGTCAGAGAATATTTCCTGTGGGCTAGCCCAGCCAAATCAATGCTGTGACTCATAATAATAACACTACTAGCAGAGCTTGGGGGTAGTGATTGACTGGTCATAAGCTTCATGGGTGGGAGGGTGAGTACTTGCTCCTTGGACTTGGCTGTCTAGAGACTCAGTGCAGGCAACTTGTATGAAATCCACATAGATATATATATACTTCAAAGGTATTTGTACCGTCCTTTTTAAGGGAGCATCAATGTCTTTTCCTTTTCTTTCTCAGTCCTTCCTTTTTTCTTACCGTATTATTAAGAAATTTTGTAATGGGGGAGCCCGGTTCAGTGGTCCGTATTAATTAAAACGGTCCTCAAAACCTTGTTTAGGACGTTGACTTTGTGCCATTTAAGCAGGCATTTTCTCTTTTTTGGTACATGTGCCAATGAAGGTGTGATAATATAATGTGTTACCAATCAGGTTATTTTTTACGGGAGTCTAATGTTTTGTTTTAATTTTCCTGCTGAACTTCAAAACATTCTAAAAATAAATAAAATAAATAAATAAATACTACTCTATAGAATCTTATTTTAAAATCTGTCGTTAAGAAGTATTTAAAACAAGTGAAAATTATTAAAAAAAATCTACTTTGACACTTCCTTTGAAAAGTTATTCAACTATTTAAAGGATATTCAAAATTTCCAATCTCTCTTTGCTTTCAAGTAATTTACGGTACCTGCAAAATTTCTTTTTAAAGGATAATTAATAGTTTTACATTTCTTTAGGGATCTTCCAGAGTTTTGTGGCCACACAGATCCCTTCGAATGTCCCTACAGGTATGACAGAATTAAAGGGTACTTATAAAGTAGCATAGACACTGCATGTGGTGAGGTCTTGGCTAATTTAGTCAGAAGCAATTAGCAAAGCTGAGAATTTACACCCAAATGCATCATATTCCCATCTGTGGTGATTGTTTAGTTTAACAATAACAAAAGTAAACTACATCTCTGGCCAAATAGTGCAGTCAACTTTCCCAAAATATTATATTTATCAAGATTCTTTGCCTAGACTAAATTAATCTTCAAGCAATTGTTGAGTTTACGGGAAAATGATACCTTATTCGAGACCCAAATTTTCTGATTTCTTTACTCCATCCCAGAGTGTAGAAATCTTGAAAACCATACCCTCCTCAGTGACACATACTACATTTGGCAGTTTAATGCCCCATTTCTGTTATATACTTTAAAGGTATTTGTACAGTGATCTTTAAATGTGGCTACACTTAAGGGTGTTACGAAACCTAAAATCCTCAAAAACTAAGACCTAAGATCCGTCTTAATTTTCTAGATTACGAGAAATACTGGAAATAGGACCCCCTGAAATCGAATCCGTCGAAATATAAAGTCAAGTTGCAACTAAAATAGGTATAATCTGTCAAATTATCTTTAGTCCGATCCTTTCCACCGAGTTTTAGGTCAAATCTAACGGCAAGTTTAGGGGTCTTAGTTTTCGTAATATCAAAAACTAAGACCCCTAACCGTAACCCTAACCCCCAAAAAATCAATCCGTAAAATATATATAAATTCGACTATAACTCGTAAAACCACCAAAAACCATCGTCACGACCCGCTTCTCAAAATTGGAGACATATCAGTATTGAGACTTTAAAACCTCGAAGACTAAGACGGGTCTTAGGTCTTACGTCTTAGTTTTCGAGGGTCTTAGCTTTCGTAACACGCTACACTTAAACAAAAATAATTATCAAAAGCTATTTTGAAGAGCACCAGTGTCTTTTCCTTTTCTTTCTTGATGCTTAAAACGGTCTTCAAAACCTTGTAAAGGAGGTTGGTTTTGTGTAAAATTTTTTTTTGGTACAGACATAATAAGGTTAAAGACATCGACTTACTCAGAGAAAGGCAAGCTATTTATAAGTTTAATTAGTAAAGAACTTGTGCCATTGAAGGTGTGATAATATAATGTGAGACCAATCCGAATAGTTTCGTTTTTATAGGAGTCTAATGTTTGTTTTAATATTTCGGATGGATCCCAATTCTCTCTTGCAACTGACATCTCATGTTGCAAAATATTGATACCACAACTAATTACCTACTCTTGTTTCATGTAGTTTTGAAAATGAATTTTATTATTAATTTTAAATTTTAGATAAATTTCCATTTCTACAGCTGTAGCCTCGCAGAGTGACCCATTGGCTAACCTATGGGCCTTTGACACATTTTGTTTTTTATCCCCCGAAATTTGTGCGAGAGAACAAAGTAGGAATTAAAAAAAAAAGTAGTGCTGATTCATTTTATATGAGGGTCCCAAATACCTTTTTCGAGATACAAGATTCCTCTTCTTTGAAGCTCGGGAATCGGGCTTTGAAAGCCAAATTAGGGCGAGATTCGGGATTGAAAGTATGCGTGGCACTGTCAGGATTACGGGATTGGTCGACATTTTGGGTTGGGATTACGCGATTGAGGACCCCTATTGAGGACCCTCATTTATACACTGTATTAAACCCCTTTTATACTTAGGTCCCGTTGGCTTTATACGGGAGCAGCGTTTTCTTCTTTACGTTTAGTGGTACTTGAAGATGTGGTTGAGCCTGGGATTGGTGTCTTTTACCGAAAAAACAAGGAATCCGACAGCAATCGTCTTCTCCTGGCAAATAACATATCAAGTGGCAGTTTAAATTATTTGGGCATTAACGAAAATGTATCCCGTCTGGAGAAAAAATCATCCCACTTTGACTGTGAAGTGAAATCTGAAGTTGACTTTGCCAAGCTGTTCCTTGAACTCGACATGTGCAACTTTACTTCTTTTAAAGACTGTGATTTATTAACTTCCCTGGCCTTGCTTAGCAAGGTACCCGCGTTTAAGCCAGATGTAAAGGCTGCTGCAGAAACCGTTAGAATGCTGGTAAAGGAATGGGCTCATTGTAACCCTGTGAACTGGGATCAAGCTAAGTCGCTGCAGAGCTTTCGTGAAATGAAGAAACTGGTGGGAGTCCTGCGTCTAGCATCACAAGTGGAAAGTAAACTTCTTGGGAAGCTCGAGTTTTGGGAAAACATTTGTAGGTGCCAATTTTTTTATAGTAGATTTGTATACAGCTATTTCGAGAAAGGTTGTCGGAAAAAATGTGCACGCGACAATCCCGAAAGGTAATATGGGATATGATCAATACGCTATTCCGACGAAGGACTTTTTTGAAAGTCTACTGACACTGTAGCTGTTGAATCTTCTATTGTTGCTTTCCTTTAGCATTCGCAAACATACGTCCATGGCCTCTCGTGCCATTCTTTCAAATTTCTTTGAAGAACAAAGAACTCAAAACCACCCACAATACCTTTCGGATTGTCGCGTGCACTTTTTTCGACAACCTTTCTCGAAATAGCTGTATATAGAGACAGTGTGGCCGTTCATTCATCCCTTTTTGGCGCCCGTACGCGTATACATTAGACACATTCGTTTCAGCTCATTGACAACCTAATCAAGTTAATATTTCGTTGACCCTCGCAAGGCAGCTTTGAAACATCATTCTCTTGCGTTTAGAAGAACATTTGTTTGCAGATTTTGTCAATTAGGATATAAGCCCGTGATATGCCAGAGTATGGTTGAAAGGCATTCTGTAATGCAAGTCTCATTTCCTAGAAATGAGTTGATGTGGTTCTTCGCTGGTAACTAATGTTGTTTTAAAGAAGTTAGTCTTTGACTGCCTGGCTAGCGCTTGCAGAAAGTTTGGACGCAAGAAAGAACGGGGTTCACGAGGGGTGGAGAGTATTCTAAGCTCCCTCTCCCCGGGCGTGCTTTCGTCGCCCTCCCCGTACTCCGATCGCAGCCATAACTTCCACGCGCCTGCTACGCAGGCTTAGTTAGTTAACAATCACTCGACAAAACAAGACAAGACATTTATTATCAAAATATTGCGTACAATTTCTTGGTACGCAGTTAGCCAAAAATGTTAGTCGTGGTGTGCTAAATTAATTCTATTACAAAACAGATATTACCTGATAAGAAGCAAAAGGCAAAGAGAAGAGAAAAGAAAGAATATGTGTAATAAAGTCAAAAGCAAGAAAGATTAATCTGTTTAATGCAAGTTGTGAAAGAAGCGAAGGTTATGGATTTCGTGATTTTATTTCTTGCGTTATCATGATTGCATCATTCGATCTGATGGATGTATAGGCGCCCCGGACGCACTGAACCTCTCCTCTCCGGGATCTGCCGCTGCATCTTTTTTGTTTCTGTAGTATAAAAACTCGGATTTGTAAAACAGATTCTTTTTTTGTGCAGGCGTGGAAAAGGCTTTTTTTCATCCACCACCAGCCAAGGCCCCTCGTACCTCCCGGTTCATGGGTAAGCTATTTGTTAATTTAATTAGCTTTTAAAGGTTTTTTTAGCTCTCAGTGCTCGTTGCTTTTGAGGCAAACGTCGAACTTCACTTAAACTGTATGACGCACCTATAAATTTTAATAAGCCAAATCTGTCGTTCTCGCTCATTAGCGTTACGTTTAGCCCTGCAAGGCCTTGGACGTCACCACCTTGTCCTATTTGATGTGCTTACGACAAGCTTATCACATACACGTTGTAATGTGATTAGAACCTACGGCATGATAGATAGGTTAAATGGAGAGTAATATCATGTCGTAGTTAGATGATACTAATATCAGCTTCAGAGCTAAGCAATGTCCACAGATTCAAACAAGCTAACTTTTGTAGCAGTTCAAACTGGTCGTAAATGAAAATTTAGGTTGCGTTTTGTTATTAAACATTTTCTTGTTTCGTCGATTACTTGCGTTAAATTTTGCCTCGGCTTGATTATCAAGTGTTGGTACATTCCTGATAAACTGATTCAAACCACCAAAAATTACATACTGAACGCAATCAGATTTTCTCATATACACTCTTTTCTTTTTATGGGGATGTTGTTTTTCGGCCCATGCTGAATATTCTTATTTTTCTATCGATTTTAGGCTGAGAGTATTCTTGTATTATTCTTACAAATTATAGCTTATGATATTTCCGTCGTAGAATGTACCGTAATGATTTGATTTAGCACCCCCTTCCAATAAGCGCCCCCCCCCTCCCGAAGGTGTTTTTGTTAATAAGCACCCCTATTCCATTAAGAGCCCTCATTTTAATAAGCGCCCCCATTCTAATATAATGTTAGAGTACGGGTACGTATCAACCGAGGTTCATCTTCCTTTAATTGTTCACAAACGAACGGTAATGCCACATTACAACAGTGGTCTTCGTCTGAACATTCACCGTATATTTGCTACTGTTACAGTTTCTGTTATTGTCCCTTTTTAAATAAATATTTAAGTTTTGTTTTGAACATTCGGTTGCTTCTCAAAAAAAGAGATATGCGCCCTGTCTCGAATAAGCGCCGTCCTTTGAGTTGCCAAAAGCAAATAAGTGCCCCGGGCGCTAAATCAAATCATTACGGTATTTTGGGCGTATCAGTTACAGTAAGTGCAGGTATTTTCGTTTTGTTGGCAAGTTTTGCCAAAGGGATAATTTGATACGGTTAAGTTAAAGAAATGTGATTGTATTACCTTTTCAAAATCTCAGCCTCAGGCTTATTCTTAATATCTTAAATTTAGCCTCAATATACAGTATATACTCAGTGTACAATACATCTCTCACCGGATGCATTAGTAATGCGTAAATAATTATATCGTTATATTATTTCAGTTAAGGACGGTAACCCGTCGAATGAGGAGCTTGAAGAGCTGGGACAGAGCATACGTGCTGAGGATTGGAGAAAGCTTGGACGAAGGTTAATCATATCGGATGCCAAACTCGATGAATTTGATAGCCAAAAAGGAGTGTCCGAGAAGGTCTGGCAAATGCTGTTGCACTGGAAAGCAAGAGATGGGTCCAAGGCAACATACAAGGTCCTAAATGACGCATTATGTCACAAACTGGTCCAGAATAGGGAGTTGGCGGAAAAGTTTTGTTGCAACTGAAAGAGGAGTTTTTAAGAGAGTTTAGTCGACGGAATCTGTTTTCCTTTCTGACTAATAACTTTCGTTCACTTGGAACGTTTAAACGTAACGCTTCCGTGACCAAATTGGTGAACCGAAACATTGAAACGGCGACCTTGTTGGTATATCAAACTTACCCTGTAATTGAACACTTTTTTGATGTGAACACTTTCTTTCTTTAGCAAAGAGTTTGTTACTGATTTGTCCAGCTGCCGGCCCCTCTGTTGAAGGGTTAAATAGAACCTGTGGTTTTAAACTTTAAGTGAAAATACTACAGAACTCAGCCAATCGTTGCATGAGAAGACAAATGACTTATTGTTTTGTAATGGATTTTAATTATCACCATTGATCCACTTTCATGTAAGGAAGAAAAAAACTACTGAGAAGTTTTGTACATTTGAAGAGTGAAAAAGCAAGATGGTTGTGAAATAGTAGCCGAAGGTCTTAAGCCAATCAGCAACGGACGTTTTTAGGTAAGTATACAGTAGAACCTCGTTAACTCGAACTTGGATAGCGCGCGCCAATTCCCCGCTAACTCGAACTGTTTTTCGTTTTCCTTCAGAGTTCGATTTACCGGGGTTCTACTAGCCTACGTATCAGGCCTTCCTAAAGGGCTAAGGAAGAGGAGATTTTAGTGTATAATGACTTCAATTAACGGAGCTTTGTCAGACGGCTGTCTTAAGTAATGCCAAGTGTGGTTAGTAATGCCAATTGCGCGTCCTTGTTCTTTATGAAACTTGAGAAATTACTTGTGAATGACAAAATCATAGCTTGGTGTCAAACAGATATGTCATCTAAGCATTAGATCAAACGCTGGAACTGAAAGTGAACTTTGAAAATCGTTTAGGCTTACAATTCAGTCGTCTTCAAGATTGTCTATCCTTGCCTCCGTTTGTATTTTGCTGTGTCAGTTATTTATACCTTCTTTACATGTTGGTAGTAGTTATTCCTCTGTTTCTCTCAGATTGGTGCCGTTTCCCTTTGTTTGAATTTTGATCAAGAAATTTCATGACATAGCTCCTTTAAATAATAACCAGTAAACAATTCCAACTGATTACATGTGATTAGAAGCGAAACGATTGGCCATTTACAGGCTGGCGTGGCAAATGATTTGAACTGGGGACATGGCCGTGAAGAAACCCAGCTATAAGCACTGTATACAATTAACCTCAAAGAAGACAATTTCGCTATTTTTTTTATCTACGGTGAGTGAATAGCGTGTGGCAGTTACCAGTTATCAACGATAAATTTTTGGTAGTCTTTTAGGGAAAATGTAAGCTATAAAGGCTCATTTCCAGATGTAGTGATATTATAGGTCCACGAAAGGCAAAAGATATGCCTGAAGAACCTAAGATGACTAAGCTAAGATTAATAGTCAGTGAAATCTGGACAGTTTAAGTATATGTACACTATATTATAATAAGTGTCATTTTGAAAGACAGGCATGGCGTAGAGTTGCTTATTTCTGAGCTTTACTTTCATCTGAAAGTCTTCTCGGTAGGCTACCTTCAGTATTGTGCAGGCGTTGGTGGCTCGACGCTTTTTGATCAAACAAAATTTGTTAGTATGGCCTGAATCGACGCGGGTTGATATTGTAAGGAGAGATTTTCCATGAATTCTTTTTGCCTCGAATTTCGTATGTAGCTTTCAGATGTTCGCTTTGACGTTGTTTTCAGTAATTCATAATGAATTCGCATAAATAGGTTTTAGCTCCGCAAAAAAGCTCGTGCCATTTTATTGTACTTGTTTGATTACTTAGTGTTCGTTAAAGCAATAATTCTAGAAAAAGCCAGGTTAAGCGCTAATTGGCCTTCGAACAACTGGGCCCAGTAGTCTGTTGGTTAAATAGTGGCAACAGCTGAGTTTGAAATATGAAAGGTTTTGCTGACTTGCAAATTCGAAATATTTGCTTTAAAGCTAGAAAACTAGTAATTAGTCCGCGTTTCTTCCTGTTTGAACAGACGCTAGCTGGCCTTGCAATTTGATTCATATTGTAAAATATTGTACATAAATGCTGTTTCGCTGACCTAGCAAACGTAGCTAGCTTTTGTTCCAGTACTTTTACTTTTTAAAAATAGCAATAATAACGAGCGATAACTATCTCTTTTATTTGATTTTTATTTACTTGGAAATGATTTCTGTTTACATATGTATTGTACTCTTTTGTTTTCAATGGTTATTCAAATCATATATAAGTAAGTTGCTTTGAACTGATTTTTTGATTACATTAGTCATTACATCGACGATTTCAGAGCTGATTACATTGCTCATTATACATCGTGGATTTCAGAGCTGATTACATCGCCGGTTACATTTGTGAGCTAAGTTAATTACGCTACGTGTACAAGAATAAACGCTGTTGGAACTAAAGTTCAGTTTGCCTTTGCTGTACCAGTAAGTGGTTTGATCCCGGACCTCAAGAGAAGTGACGGCTCTTTCCCTCAAGCGAGTTGCAATTGAGTCTAGTTTCCCCCAGGTTTATCGTGAGTCAAGCACCGAGTTCCCGTTGAAAAATTCGTTTCAAAGTGGAAAAACCTTCCCTCACAATATTCTTTATCGTGTTATCACGTCCTTTGGTAATTAAACAACGTTATAATTATGGGTTTCTTTAGTACATGTACTTTTTCTCTCTCTCTGTTTGTGATAGTTCCATGTTATCTTTGCAAACAAACATGATGTATAGCAAAAAGTTAAGGTGAACCCGGCTGTCTCATAGAAATTTAACTTGCTTGTTCTCTCTTAATACTACACGTACTGTTTACACATATGCCACGTTGCGAAACTCATATCATTCCCATATTCTTCATTCGATGTGGAATATACGAAGTGTAACCCTTTTGTTCACTGTTGTGTTACCAGTGGAAACGACACCCCATGGATAACAGTGAGGTAAACTCGTTACTAACAGCCTCGCTTTCATATGATGCCATGGAAATTGATCATGCATGAGCTATTATACCTGGCCCCGGTTGTTCAAACGTTAATTGGATAGCGCTATCCACTGGACAAAATCACTATCTAACAGATAAGTATTCGGAACACCAATTGCCCTTTCCGGATAACGTTATTAGCGTACAAGTAATTTTCCTTTTATGATAATATTCAATATATAGTAGTTGTTCCTTTCTTTCTTACTAACTTTTATTTTACTTTGTTTCATTTGTCATTGTACTGACTATTTTGGTACTGAAATCTTCATGTAGAAGATAAAGTCAATAAAGTTGTTGTTGTTATTATTCACCTTTTGAACAACTGGGACCAGATAAACTGAAAGTATTAACCATTTTTCAGGTACACGTAATCTAGGGGACTATGATACAAAATCTAGAACTACAGTGAAACCCCTATTTAGTGGACACTTTCGGGACCTTTCCAAGTGTCCGCTTAATAGAGGTTTTTAAAAATTGCGCAATGTTTGTAAACGCTTAACATTCAACGGTTACTCTGTACTGTGATAAAGTTCCAGGTTGTTGAGGAAGTAAAGGAAGCTGTGCTGTACTTTGTGCAAGACAATTTTAAGTAAACCGTTTGACTGCTCAATGTATTGATTTATCTTCATTAATCGACTGTACGTATTTCAACGACGTAATCCAATAATACTATTGTCAATTCAATCTGGTGTCCCCTTAATAGAGGTTTTTAACAATTAGAAAATAGCCAAATACAATTTATTTTAATATCCGCGTCCGCTTAATAGAGGTGTCCGCTGAACAGGGGTTCGTTATGAAGGGAAATATCAGACGTTAATTCCGGGACCCGGCTTAGTGTCCGCTTAATAGAGGATGTCCACCTAATTGGGGGTCCGCTTAATAGAGGTTTCACTGTATGTAAATGATAAGTTAGAATAGACTGACCGTAAGTCGACCGCAAGAGCCTTGAAGGCGTACGTACAGGTAGAAACCAAAAATGGAAAGCAGTTCGCATGTCCAAAGTCGAGGCTTGTATCTTTGATGGCCTTGGTGATTTTAGCCTGCGAAAACATCCGTTTCTATTTCTGTTTCTCCTCGCTCTTCGCCGCTAGGGACGTTTCGCGTTCCTCTCGCGCGAAACGTCCCCAACGGCAAAGAGCGTGGAGAAACGGATGTTTTCGCAGGCTATAGTGATTTTCGCTTCCTTTATCTCTCTACAGCAAAATAAGGTGAAATTAAAAATCTAGAAGGCTGTTGCTGCCAAAATCATGATTTTCTTAAATTACCTCAGCTACTTCCGGATCTGATACACGAAATTAGCCCCCTCTTTTCCTACTGCAAATCCAGTTTGATTATCAAACTCCCAGCATCCCTCAGTGATGTTTCCATATTTGGCATAACTTTCCTTAGCATTCCTACCACTGTAGCACTCGCCGTAAAACTGAACGGCAAAGTATTCGTAGCCCATATCACTGGCCACTTGTGCGCACTGATTAACTGTTAATTCCATGTTAAACCAGTCGATGTTACCTCGGGCGTTAGCGTAGAACACTGGCAAGGCTCGTTCTTTCGCACTATCGTTATAACAGCCAATGGGCTGAAGGTTCGGTGCTGGATCTATAAAGACGAATGTAGTCGGGGCATTATTTAATTTGATTGAACACTTGGCATTGTACAATTTGATTCCTTCCGAAACCTCAGTTATTTTCACATTACTGGCTGAAAACGTCACTCATCAGCCGTATCACTGGATATTTACCCCTTTAATTTCTGACTTAAATTATTATGTTACTCCACAAAATCATCCGACCTACACCTGGCGATGAGTAATGACCAGTCCCTGACAAACAAATTATTTGTCTTGCACAGTTGTCAGGACATGAATTTGGTTAGTCTGTGGTTCTATTTCCTTTCTGTAGATCGATTGCCTGTCATGATTTGCAAAACATTTTGTGATGGAAATACGCTTGGAATGGGCAGGTACATGAACTTACCAAAAGAATATACAAAAAGACTGTTGCCCGCTCCAATCCTGTCTATACACGCCGCATTTTCAATACCATTGAGGTAATA